CAGCCGAGAAATTTTTCTCTCATCTAGGAATGATGAAGTCATTTAGTCGGTCGACCTCGACTCAGAAGCAACTGAATCATCTTCTACTTCTTCAATTTTATAAATTGAACACCGCGGAAATATATGTAAAAGCTATAGCAAAAGATTTTATAAATGGAAAAAGTAAAAACACCAGAATTTATTACTTTGGAAAACGTTAAACTATTTTTAGATTGTAACAAATTCTTTTAATTTTAAATTTTAGTGAAATATGTTTATAGTTGATATTATGGATGCATGTGGTTTTCTTTTAAGAATAACTGAAAATTAATATTTGTTTTATAAAATTTGAGAAATATTTTTAGCCCAAACCCCCTTACTCCCCTCCCCTCCCTATTATCTTTTTAATAGGTTTTGATTTGTCAACAGGGTAAAGACCACCATCATTAAAACAACTTTTCAGGAGTTTGCTATCTATCTTAATAACGAGAGCCTTTAGTAAAGTTAGAAATACAAGCTTGTTAACATTTAATGTCTGCTTTCTCTTAACCAATTTTTAAGGACTTTCTTTCAATGTGATTTTAATGGAGCGAAAAAACCAACATTGTAATGCGTGACTTGTGTTCAGAGGTGAGCAAAGTAAATTTATATGATTTTCTAGAGTTTTTTTAAAAGTAAAATTTTTTTTTTTTTTTTTTGTTATTTAGGTGCCCCAAGAAGACCTAACAGTCTTGTCACAGACTACCTCGGATGTGCATTTAATCAGGAAGTTTACGCCTCCTTTCTTACCGTGACGCGAAAATATGTCAAGAGCTTGTTTCAAACCAGGATCTCCTTTTAATAAAGCTAGCGCTGTAACCACTGCACCACGGCCGCACCGTAAAATATTATATGTTATATACACCGTAAAATGTTATATGGCTATTGTGTCTATCACCCAGCAGCAACACAGACTTTTCATAATCCTTTACATGTTTAATAAACCTGTCAATCAAACTTTCAAAAATATAATCCTCCATCCAACCTGAATTTGTTACACCATACATTGCATTTTCTGGTCCATTTTGACACCATGCATCATAAAAGTGGATGGTTTTGTAGACGACAATGAGAGGTAGACACTGGCTATTTGCTGACCCACAAAACAGTACAGTATACATTGATTTACCACATGATGGAGCAATGTAATAAGCTGTTTTTAATGTTTTCCGAAAGATTTTTCCTGCTGGAGGATCTGTACGTAAACCTGTTTCATTTAAATTAAATATGCAATGTGGTCTATAAAATAAATTGTTATCGTTTAAAGTCTTCTCATATAACTCAAAAAAATCATAGATCTAGAAAATCTGGATGCCATTTTAAACAACGATTTTATTAAGAAATAAGAGGAGATAGATAGAGTGTCGATTTCCTCATGAAAAGACAAAATTATCAGAGATTGCGCGCACTATAGAGGTTGTCTCTTTTTGACAATAATAGCGTCGAAATTCAACAATCACTAAACCTCGTATCGAAGATATAATAAGTCAATCTGTCAGTTTTTATTTCTATTTATATCTTTTTATTTATATGATTTTCATTTAAGATCATTAGCTCTTGCTTTTGTCAAAAGTTCAGGTTTTCTTTTTCCAAGAACTACATTTCATTTTTTTTTTAAATAATGCACACCCTGGTTTGTCATCTTTGAATGGAGTTTTTTTTCCAGTAAGTGTTTATACAGGATTTAAGCATCAGTTTGATATCTTCTCTATCTTGTGGAAAACCCTTATCAGATTACTGCATCAGGGCTTTTACTAGAAGATTTTCCCCAGTATTATTTAAAACAAACCCATGACCGCTTCCAATTCTTTTTTCATTTCTTTGTATTTGATCATGGGATTGTTTGTATAATGTCCCATAAGGAATTCCAGAAGACTTTGATAGATTGTATACTGACTCTTCTTCCTTAACAAGCTGTATGGCAGTCATTAGTTTGTTGTGATCGTATGTACCAAAAGTCTTGCGTTGGTATTCGCGAGGCGCAATAATTTATTTCAGTCATTATTTTATCTAAAATATTTTAAAACAAACTTTAATTATATAAAGTATATAACTTAATTATAAAGTAAAAAGGAATACAAAAATAAAATATAAAACATTTAGATGGAAGTTAAAATTTTACCCTAGCCATCATGGCTTACTATAATTACATGGCTTACTGTAATTATAGTAGGCCATGTAGCCATTCAGAGATAACAAATTTTAATATAATCTTAATGTAAATAGTTTAGAAGCATTATATGAAACTATTATATGTAACTGAAAAAATGTTTAATGTTATATTAAAAAGCAAAATTGAGCATAAGTATATAAATAAATGTCATGCAGCTTACAATTTTGTAATAAAATACTATAATGTTAGTAGGATTTTATACATTTTTATGTATATCCATATTACCCCCCCCCCCCTTTTATTTTACCTGTATATCCATTTTACCCCATTTTAGATTTTTGTTTACTTATCAATATGGGTTAGAGAATTATCAATATGGCTTATAAATTAATTTTTACATCTTGTTACATCATGGTCCGACTAATAAATTTACATCATTAAACTTGCATAATATTACTGAAGTCTGCAGAAAAAAGTTTTAAAATGTAATGTTTTTTTATATTTTTTTCAAAATAACATGTATATTATTAATTATTAACTATTCAGGTAAATCAAATATAAATATTGTTAATGCAAATAAAAAAAGCTAATTATGTGTGTAAATTGTTGGTAATTTTCAGGTTTTAGCATTATCTATAGATAACTTACTCCATGCATACTTGTTTAGTATATTCATATTACTCCAATTATCCATATTACCTCTCCCTACCCTATTCAATAGAAGAGTATAAAAACTTCTATACAGAGATTTTTGCATGGCTAACAACTTTCGGCAAACAATGAATACCAAAAAATAAACAACAATAACAACAAAATATTTATTCTCCTTTTCAAATCATACAATAACATTATAATAGTAATAAATATAATAATAATAATTTGAAAAAAAAAAATCATAATTCTATTGATTATAGTAAGTAAAAATAGTTGATTAATATATATATATATATATATATATATATATATATATATATATATATATATATATATATATATATATATATATATATATATATATATATATATATATATATATATATATACATATATATATATATACATATATATATATATATATATATATATATATATATATATATATATATATATATATATATATATATATATATATATATATATATATATATATATATATATATATATATATATATATATAAAATGAAAATAATATAAATTAATATAATAATGAGTAAATTAAATATAAGTATTTAATGATTATAACTAAATGATTGATAAGGATGGTGACACAAACAGAATTCTGATCAAAAGAGTGACACCAGTTTTTAACTATATAATATGATTAATAATGAGTATACACACATAGAACATACATAAACAAGTAAAGTTTTAAAAAACCATACTTTGATGATAATAATAAAAAATAAACAAAAAAGAATTTAATGGTAATAGTTGTATTAATCATAATTTAAAAAAATAAGAGTATATTTTAAAAATTAAGTAAAAATCATATCAATAAGTTGGAACAAAATTGTTTTCAGAACTTTTGTAAATTGGTTTTGTGTAAGATTAAGAAAAGATACAAAAATTAAGAAAAACTAACAACTTTCAGCAAACAATGAATACCAAAAAAAAAAAAACATGGTTAACTAACTATTTTTTAATAACCTTTGGATTTGTATGTACAAAAAATAGTTTTTTTCAAAAAAGATTTTCTAGAAATTTAAATTAAATATACCTCTATAATATGTATCTTTTTATAATAGATAAATTTCAAAAAAATTGTATATATATTTTTATTTATCTTTCGAATACTCAGTTTCATAAGCACCTTATATATATATATATATATATATATATATATATATATATATATATATATATATATATATATATATATATATATATATATATATATATATATATATATATATATATATATATATATATATATATATAGCATGTGTCATTTGATAAAACAATGTATATGTTCGTTCATGATTCGAGAGGGAAAAGACATCACAAGTCGGTAAGCGTCAAACGAATCTTCTGTGCCTATTAGAGTACCATTTACTTACAGTCGCAAAATTTTTATTTTAAAGTTTTATTTTATCTATTTATTCAGGAACGGTACCAGAGAATAAAAAAGAAACTGATATAGAAAAAATAAGACAAATGAAACTGTTCAGTTGATGGTTATAGCAGTGTCTAAGCTATAACCATCAACTGTATAAAACACTTATAGCAGTGTCAAAGGGCCGTATGTTTTGAAACAGCTAGAACTTTTGCCGACAATATTATTAATATGATGTTTGTATGAAAAGCCTGAGTTAAAGAAATTCTTTATCTAATTTCTGAACTTTAGTTCATTAAACCGGCTTTTCACAAGGTCGGACTTATATATATACGCCTGAACTTTAAGCAATAACGCCTGAAAATCAATTGTGTCTAAACGCAATGATTAATTCATCAAGTTACCTCTGAACTAGTTGCAGTTTCCTGATTTATTGTAGCGTGTATTAAGCAAAGAAAAAAAAACGCAAATAGACCAAACCATATTGGTAATATGACGTTGTTTGATGAGGTTTTCAACCTTCTTTTGTATTTAAAGTCTTTTTCTTGATTTAGCTTTACTGCAGTAAAACTAACTCAAAGATCTAAGAACTTTTAAATGTTTTGAATGCTTTAGAATATGCGTAGACTGCTGAAACAACTATGACAAAACCTAAATATTGTTTTTAATCATGTCATCATTTTTGAAGACAACAAAGAAGTGATGATAGACACGATTTTAATAACTAAATTAACTTTTTAGATATACTGTGTGTATATTTTAATTATACACATCAATTTTTTACAGATTAACTTTCTGAAATAAGTTACAAGCAAATAATAAAAACTTTATTTCACTTATAATTCTTTCATTACATAAAGATGGACTGCAAAGTATCAACAACATATACACAAAAAAAACCTATCATTCAATATAATGAAATCAGCACAAAAATTACAACTATCATAGCTTCGTAAAAATGAAAGCAAATGTTATAAATAAGTTACAATATATATGTTATAAGCAAACCGCTATAATAAAGAAAAAGTATATAAATATTTTAAATCTAAAAAATTATTTAATAAAAGAGTTATTTGGTTGATCCGCGTTCAAATTGTACTCGGCGGTTCTGGGAATCCTAAATAAAAATAAAGCCATAAATAAAAACTGTCCATATTTAATTCACATAAATTCAAAACTCTATTTATACGAAATAATTCTATTTACTCTTACATATTCATGAATCTGATGACCGGATGAAGAAACATTTACTCGTTCGATAAAATTTGACGGAACTAATCCTTTGTTACCTCGTATCTAGAAATTACAAAAATATTAGTGGTTACAAATAATCATTGTCATTAGTTGAATCTAAAAATATGTTTGTATGCCTTGGTAACAATATGATAAAAAATAAAGTTGGGGCTTCAGTACATTGACTAAGAGTTAGGGCAAGCAGTCATATGATGTATAAAAAAATAGAATCCTAATAATTTAAGTTCAATAAAAGAAAATATCAAAAGTATGCTAACCAACTCTGTTCTTCTAGAAATTCTTATTTTACTCTTTTTTTTTAAAAAAGTTTTATATTACATAACTGTAAGCTAATGTAATCAAAGACCTGTAAGCTAACATAACTACATAACCGTAAGCTAACATAATTACTGTAAGCTAACATAACTGACACACTATAAACAGAACTTTTTGTATAAAAAAAGTTCTTTGAAAACAAACAAATAGATAAAATAGCTATATTGAAGCCTGGAATGCAAAATAAGTAAATGAGCCACAGATCAACAAAATAAATAAACATAGAATACCTCTGCAAAATAAAATCCATCATTTCGTGTTTTGTCAGTGACTTTAATCAAATCACCTTCAGATAGTTTTAATTCCAAAGACGGATTTGGATTAGGAGAACTTTTAAACGGATCATAATCATACAAAGCAACATACTGCAAAAAAAAAAAAAAAAAAATTATGATATATATATATATAAAAAACATTTCAACTTTAGAATTAAAAAAATATTTTTAACTAGCATTTCTTATTGTCGAAAAAGAAATCAACTTAATAAAATTTTTAATGCTGTGGAAACAAAATTTTAATACTCAAATTTTGATGCTGTGGAAACAAAATTAATACTCAAATTTTCAAAATTCAAGCACAATAAGGAAAAAACCTTTTGTAAAAATAATGTCAATGAATTTTTTGGAAACAAAAAAATTCAAATATATTTAATGTAAATAAAACTTTGTTTAATAAATCATTAGTTACTAGGCTCTTTTAAAAATGTTTTTAAAAAAAAAACCTAAGGTAGTTAACTAACTTTAATTGGTAAAAAAACTTTTACTAATACCATATGTATTAAAATTACAAAAGCATTGATTTTTGTTAATTACCATTTTGATAATTAACAAAATCTAATTTGTAAGGTTATATTGCAAAGATCATTCAGGTTATGATTAGAGCTTAGTCAGATCCAAGATCCGGAACCTAATACCGGGGTAGCCGTACCAATTATTTGAGATCTGAATCCAGATCTATTTGGTTTGAATATTTGGTTCCCGGATTTTTTTACATAAAATTACTTTTTATAATGTTGATATTTGATACCATTATAACCTACACATAGTTTGAAACTGTTGCACTTTGAAGCATAATAATATTTTAAATCAATTTAGAAAAACAATTTTAAAATGACTTTCCAAGAATTTAAAAGCAATGCTCCTGTTTGGGAGCATTACTTAAAGTACAAATTAAATGAAATTGCTCAATCCAAAACCTGTAATTTTATTGTAGTAATTAAAGGAGGTTGCACAAATGTTATGCGAAAGCATTTAAAGATTAAGCATAAAAAAGAATTACCATCCTACAAAATCAGTTTAAAGTTCATCCCAAAAGAATATCAGTAACTTTGTACAAGTAAAAGATACTATTGCCAATATACTAACAGATTCATTGCAAATGATGGACTTTCAAGTAACACTTTTGCTAAAAGTAAGAGGTTATGAGAATTTCTTTTAGCTGAAGGACAAAAAATACCTCCTAATTTAATTCCCATTAAAAATACTTTCTTGGATCACGCTAAAGACATTGAGTCTCAATTAACAGCTGAATTAAAAGACTTAAAAGCTAACAACTTCAGATTTAGTTTACCTGTTGATGAATATAAATCAATTAAAATGCATCGTTTATGAATATTAATGTGCATAGAAATGGAAGCCTTTATAATCTTAGATTTGCACGTATTGTCAGGAGTATGCCATCTGAAAAAGCTGTTGAGATAATAAGTGAAAAGTTGAGTGAATTCAAACTGGAATTTAATAATGATATTGTTAGTACAACTCCAGTTGGTACATCAGTTATGGTTAAATTTCCTATGCAATCCATTTAGCAATAGGGGATGTACTTCATGTGAAACCAACTGAAGTTTTAGACTAAAACAATAATTTTGAAATTAACATTAGTGAGGATGACAGTAAGGATGATAGTCAAGAGCTTAATCAAGGTGAAGAGCTGGGCTACATTACATTTGAAAATAGTTCAGTAGAGACTGATGTTATGAAAGACTTTTTTTTAATTTTAAAAAAAGTTTGCATAATAATATGTTTAAAAATCACCCATTAAAAATTATGTTGCAGAAGCATGTAAAATCAGAGTTTGGGGATGAACTTAAACTTATTTTAGACTGCAAGACACGTTGGAACTCATTATTTGATAAATTTAAACGCTTTGCAAAGTTAATCAAATATATTAAAATGGCACTTATTCAAGTGCAGTCTCCAATAACAATATCAGATTTAGAGCTGCTAATTCTTAAAGATTTAAAGAAAAAGTTTTTTTTTAAGTCAACTACAATCATTTGAATCTGACATAAGCAAAAACTTATATGATGCTTTAAAAACAAGAACTTTAAGCAAAAGAAATTCTAATTTGATTCACCTCATGGAATATTTACACAACCCTAGTTTTCTATTATCTAGTACTTTAGATGCTTTTGGAGTAAAGCCAAAAAAATTAGCAGTTATATTGTAAGCTAAAAATCTTTTACTAAGACTTTTACCTCAAGCAATCAAAGAAAATTGTGAAGAAAATACTAACAATGATTTTGAAATCAAATTAGAAGAAAATTTTGATATGAAAAAGCTATACAAAGAGCTTAGCTCAAACAAGAATTAAATAATGAAAATCTCAGTATAAAATCTCTCAAGAATTTTCTGCCTTTGACTCAACAAAAAAACGTACTTCTTATTTGGAGATTTTATTTCAATGTTTAAAAACTATCCAACCAACATATCTTGAGAGTGAATTTTATGTATTTTTAAATTCATTTCACTCTCAACATATGTTGAGAGTGAAATGAATTTAAAAATACATAAAATTGTTTTTCTAAAAAAATCTTTTCTATTATTTCCTTTTATTTTTCTCTTTTAATGTGTGGTGGTTTATCAAAATTTTAGAAAAGCTAAAAATTTAACAAAATATCCAAAACTCTGGATCAGGAAAAAGATAACCTCTAATATTGACCAAAAATAATTTTTAAGCAAAAGAAACTTACAATATCGCCATTTTGCTGGTGAAGAAGTTCATTTTCTTTTGTCTAAATATAATTAACTAAAATATGAATAAAAGATAAAAAATATGAATGAGACATACAAAGCAACATAAATGCAAAACATAAGAAACATGAATAAGAGAGATAAAAAAAAATATGAATGAAAAAAAGTAAAAAAGATAAAAAGCATGAGAGAGATAAAAAATATGAATGAGAAAAGATAAAAAAGATAAAAAACACAAATGAGAAAGATAAAAAATATGAACGTGAAAAAACAAACATAATAACTTAAGCATCATACCATACAAAAAACAAAATTAAAACAAAACAAAAAAATTGTCAGGGTGTTAGTATATGTATTATTATGTTGAAAAAATTTTAATATAAAAAATATAACTTGACTAAAACCTGGTGCAAATAAGTAAATATATTCAATGTTATTATTAAACTACATTTTTTGTTTAAACATTTTTTAAACTACTTACTACCCTAAATCTCAAAGGTTTATTTCAAAAAAACATTTTTTAAAAATAAAAATCCTAGAATTTTGCAATTTTAAGTTTCATTTTTAAATTGCACATTAAGCATTTTAATATATATTTTAACTGAGGATAGCTATGATATAGTCGAAAAATGTATTTTATAAATTAAATGGTTTTAACAAAAATTAAAAAAATTGTCTTGATTATTAGAATACATATATATATATATATATATATATATATATATATATATATATATATAATATATATATATATATTATATATATATATATATATATATATATATATATATATATATATATATATATATATATATATATATATATTTATATATATATATATTATACATATATATATAAAAAAAATTTTCTAAATTTTACAGAAGCATTAAAAAAAAAATCTGCAATAAATGCTTTAGTACATTGCACATTGCCAGATATGTTATATATAATATGTTATTGATTAGTAAATTACACGTTACATGATATGTAATATATGCAGTGTTATTAACTATTAGTAAATTAACTTACTAATGTGGAAAGGGCACCTGTAATAGCAAAATGACACTTTTCAGAGCAAAATCCATTTTCACCAATAGTTTGAATACTAAATTCTACACGGCCATGTAGATCAAGTCCTTCAATCAAAGCCTAAAGTAATATAAATGAAATTTTTAAAATGAAGATACAAATATTTTCAAAAACTACAGTAATACTTGTAAAATTGGTATTTATCAATGCCTATAACAAATTAAAAATATATTAAAAATGAAATTTTAAAATAATTTGAGGTTAACAAATTACTTTTGTTACTGTGGCACTTTTTATATCTTGCTTCGGTTTACCATTTACCCATATCTATGAAATCATATCTTCAAAAATCACACATCATAAATATAAAGTCGCACATCATAAATATTAAGTCATAAATTATAATTATCAAATCATAAATATACAATTTTAATAAATTTATTAGTTCAATACCCTGTATCCAATCACTCTGCATCTGTTACTTTGTCCATACTCATTCATAACTGGCAATTTCCACCCAAGTAGAACAGCCTGCTTTGTGACCACTCGATGAACTTTTAAATCTTCGGGAGCATAAGGAGGACCTGGATTTATAATTAAAACAAAATTATCATAACAAAACTCTTCTAAAGTCCCCTTAGTGCTTACCTACCAAAAAACTACACTATACAAATAAATTCAACAACAATAAATTATAAAAAAAAAAAAAAACTAAAAGCTTACTTACCTACAACTTCATCTACTTCAATTATTCCTTTGAAAGTCTGACTATTGTTGCTACTTTTATGAATTTTGGATGATCCAATATTTGCACTGCTAACATGGGAATTTGGTGGTAATTCTGAATGCTTTGCAACTACATTGCTATGTACATGATTTTGTTCATGACGATGAGAATGATCATGAGGCTGTGAACTTACTTCTTTTACAAAGTTTGATGGAACTAGATATCTTGCACCTAAAAAATTGCTATTTTTAAAAAAATTTTAATTTTAGCCTTAATAAATCAACTAAAATTTTTATTAATTAATCAAATAGAAATTTCCTTCAAACTTACTGATTCATTTTTTTTTTAGTTTATTTTATTTCTTAGGTTGTCTTAGTTGTTAATTATCAACTTTACCTTTCTTTATTGCAGTGTAATATCCATCCACATCTATATCACCAATTACAGTAATTTTATCTCCTTTTGTTAAGGATAACTGAAGATCTGGACGATCAGTAGTTCCCATTGTAAATGGATCATAGTCATACAGAGCCACAAACTTTCTTTCACGAACATTAGTACCATGTGATTGATATCGCGGCTAATGTAAATTTTAAATGGTAAATTGTAAAAATTGCTAATTTATGTTGAGAATTTTAAAACTCCTAAATATTAAAATCTACTTATTAAGTAAATAAATATTAATATTAAATCATAAAGTAAATATAAAAATTGTTGATTTATATCAATTTTAAAATTTCAAAAAAAAAAATTATTTAAAAAAATTCTGAAAACCTTACAGAGCGATCTCCTCGATAAATATTAACAGATGAATCGTCTTCAATAACGTCTTCAACATAAACACTTGGAACCAATCCTCGAGCACCTTACATCAAAATAATCAAATGCATTATTGAGAATTAAAGAATTTAAAATGATTTAAAGTATTCAAAATAGTTATATCATTAAATAAATTAACTTTCAAATTAACTTAAATCTTCCTTTTAAAGTAATTAAATAAATAAATTTTCCTTTTAAAGTAATTAAGCAATGGCATTTTTCACTTTCTGAATTAAAATAGCCTTTATAATAATAAATTATATATAATAAATTAGTTTGCATTTAATAAATTAGTTTGCATTTAAATGTTGATTGTGTATGTCAGCCATAAAACTGGAGTCCCCAAAGAACTCCAGTTTTATGGGTTTTTTGGGACTCTACAACTCTGGTATGTCAAGTGTTGACGATTTTTTATAAACCATAATTTATCTAATCAATTCCATATTGATGAATGTTTCACTTTTTTGAACTAACTATTAGCATGAATTAAATCTTTTTATTTATAACTATGTTTATTTAAAGGACAGGTCTTTCAGTCCAGGGGACCCACTAAGAAGACTGCTAATTTATTTTTTTTGTTAATTGTTTTTATAACTCTCTCAAGCCTTTCATATCAAAAAATGGACTAAAAATTTTAAGAAAATTGCAAATAAAAACAAGTTAAGCACAATAATTCAAGGGACATGGTAAGTTTGAACTCTTTACCTCTAGCTTACAAAGAGAATACTGTACCATTAAAAATCTTTCATATTTAAGCAAATCTGCGTATGGTACTTGTAAAAATTTAGCATAATCTTAAAAAACTTACTAGCCACATTTGAACAATTTAGAGGTGTAGGGTTTTTTAAATGTTGTATAGCGCTGAAACCATGATTAAAAACAAATGTTTTTTAAGTGTGTTAATTTTTTTAATAGCTTGTAACTTAAATTGTAATTAAGACTAAGACTAGTGACTAGTAATAGATTATGACCACAGCTAAGTTCTATAAAAGAAAACTGACGCCGGGTTTAAAGACACGGATAATTTAATGTTGATGAATCAAAGTTTTTATATTATTTAGATCTCTATTAAGACCAAAAGCTATTTGTTCATCTTTCAAAATGTTCATTAGAAAAATGATAACTTACACTGACTAAATGTCAACAGATTTTTATAGAATTCTATTAATTCTGGGGCTATTATTACCAACTAAAATTTTAAAATATAGTTTAACATTTCCATACCCAGCAGCAGTAGGACTATATTTAAAGTTTAATTCTACATGAATAAAATTCATAAATAACTAGTTACAAGGTAAAGTTATGTTTAACTTTAACTCCCTAATTATTTATAAACTTTAACAGATCTAGATCATATTTAATCAATCTGATTTAGTTTTGACTTTTGCTTTAACTTTTCCCAACTATTAAAGTAAGAAATGTTAAAAACTGTAGAAATTTTTATAAAATATATATAATTTGGTTGCAAATCCCATTTTAATTACAAAAATGATTGGTTAATAGTTAAAGTATATTTTGATTGGTTAATGGTTAAGATTTATTTTGATTGGGTAATAATTAGAGTATATTTTATTTCTTATATCAAAACAAATCAAAGAATCTAGATAATGATAAATAATCTAGATAATGATAAAGAATCTAGATAATGATAAATATAATATAAAAACAATGTAAAAAAACACTTGTTTGTTTTTACAATAACTTCTAACCACATTGAATTTCTATTTAAAGTAAATTTAACATTTATTCATAAAGAAGGTAGAATATACATTTTAGGTAAATATTCTAAAAGAAAATTACCATTAACTTCAGCATAATAAAACCCATCTGTGTCCACATCTCCATAAACTTCTACATAATCACCTTTTGTTAATCTGAGTTCTCGACTTCGTTTAGGTTCATAATTAAATAAAGCAATATATTGCCTTGGTTTCTGACGAAGGGATCGTAATGAATACTCAGTGTAGCTTTCATCACTGTAAGTATCATTTGGTTGAAGCACAACTTCTTCGTAACTGTCACCTGATGTAGAGGGATTTAAGTGCTGCAAAACAAAACAAAAAACAAAACATTTAACAGCATTTAATAAAAACAAAACAAGCAGAGTAAAAAATATAAAAATATGTAAAAAAAAATATATAAAATTTTAAAATGTGATACCTTATTTGGAGAATCTGAAAAATAATTGACAATGCCACGCCCCTAAATGATAAAAATAAAAAAAACACAGTAAAAACTTGAATTTTTGGAATATATATATAAAACATAAATATCATAGGGATGGAGATAAAAAAACTAGGGATAGAACCAAAATATTGAATTAAATCAAAAAACTGTTTTAAAATTTATCTGAATGCATAATGTAATTGTAGTTTGTAAACAATATAATATTATTTGAATTCCTTCTATAAAAAGAACTGTAATTTGTTTTATAGGGATACAAATGTTTTAAATCGATGTATGTACACTGCATAAAAATAAAAATAAAAAAATATAAAAAAATGCAGGCCTGCAGCAGGTCAAAATATACTTTACTATTACAACATAAAAATAGCACACAATATGGGAGTTTATTGAGTTTTTTAGTAAACTAATATTAGTAAGCTAAAAAATGAGCAGACTTAAAGACAATAATACAGACAAATAATTTTTTTAACTTTCACTTAAGTTTTTTTAGATTACAAAAAGTTGTTGAAACTTTTCTCTTACTACAACAGCTAAAATAATAGTAAAATAATAATATAATAATAAAAACTAATATAATAAAAACAATAACCTTTAGTAATTTTTTAAACAGTACATAAAAATGATCAAAAATTGTGTTAAAAACAAAACAAAATAGATATAAAAAAAATACCTGAGGGCGAGGCTTTCCGCCAAGGTACTTTGTATTATCAGCATAATTACTTATTGATTTGATTTGCTTTAAGTCAATATATGTTTGATTTTCTATAGCAATTGATAATTTTTTAATATCATGTGTGAGTTGCATGATACTGTCTTCTTTCTCACGCAATTTTTTCTTCAGAGTTTGGACTTTGACCTGATTTAAAAACAACAAACAACTTATAAATAATAAATAACAACAATTGTAACTTATTGATAAACACTTAACAATGAAAGCACCTTATAAGAAGGAATAAGCATTTCTGCATCATCTCTTTGTCTTGTAAGTTCAGAAACCTACATTTAAAAAAAAATTTTTTTTTTTATATAATTGTATTATATATACTAAATTGTTATGCTAAATTTATATATATATATATATAATATATATATATATATATATATATATATATATATATATATATATATATATATATATATATATATCAGCGCTTGTAATAACGGCCGATCAATGATCGGCTATTTTCAGGGAAATTTCAAAAAATTCAAGGGAAAATAACCTGTTATTGTAAAAAAATTACATTTGATCGGCAAGCTTTGAAAAACTTTTTCGAGCGATGATATATATATATATATATATATATATATATATATATATATATATACACACACACACATATATATTATATATATATATATATATATATATATATATATATATATATATATATATATATATATATATATACATATATATATATTATAATGTAAAAAAAAGAAATCATTATTTGCTAGCACCTTTAGTCTTAAACTATGAAAACCTTCTTCAAGATGATCATGATCACTAAAGAACAAAAGAGTAGCGGTATATAAAACAAAAATTAAAAAAATCTACATTCTCATAGTTTGTTCAAAAACCTTATACCTAAGGTAGTCCTCTAAGTCTGCTAGACGAGCTTCTGCAGCATTTCTTTCTGCTGTAACTTCTCTTAATTGCCTATATAAATCATCACGCTCCACTTCTATCTTATTAAGTGCTGCTAATGCTTGTGAACGTTCAGTCTGAATCTCTAAAACACGATCTTCTAGTTCCTTCTTGTCTCTTTCAAGATTCAAAATCTAAATTTATCAATAAATAAAAACAACTAAACAAAACTTTTACAAAGTTTTTTCTCAAAGCAATAAAATATAATGAGCACTATTTTGTTTGCAAAAATGTTTTAAAGAAACTTACGCGATCTTTTAAAGCTTGGTTGGTTCGTTTAAACTCAGCTGTTTTTTTCTTCCATTCAATAATATACTGTTCAAGTGTTTTATTGCTTCTGACAAATTCATTACGCTCTTCCTCAACAATTCTACCTTTTTCAAGGAACTCGTCTCGTTGCTTTTTAACAAAATTTAATTTCTGCAATAGCTCATCACGATGAAGTTCAACATCTTCCATATCTCGTAACTGCACCTGAAGCTCTATTAAATTTCTTTCTAAATCAATAAACTCTTTCTCCCCAATTTCAAGATTTTTAACCTGTAATAAAATATAGACATCAATAATAATAAAATAAAATTTAATTAATTGCTTATTATATATCAACTAAACTCAAATATAATTGTTAATATGAACCCTAAATGGGTTACAAATTTACCCTCTCAATAAGTTCATGGTTATGGATGCAACACTCATCATACTTTGCAGTTAACTGTGCAAGCTGCGTTTCACATAATTCAAGCTTTGATAAATATATCTGAAACATTTTTTTTAGATTATCAAAAATATTTAAAGCAATTAGCTAAAACATTACAGCTGTTAAAATTTTTAAAAATAAAACCTGTTGGCTGTTATGCTTTGTTTCAATTTCTTTTTTTTCAAGTACAACAGCTTTTAGTTCATCACGTAACTGTTTAATTGTAAGTTCTTGGCGTTGACATTCTACAGACTAAAAGGAAGTATTTTAATATACATTATATTTAGTTAATTAATCAGTTAATTGTTATAATCAACAGAAGTGTTGATTATAATTATTAACTGATATAACAACACACACACACACACACACACATATACATATATATTACAAATCTTTGTAAAAATTAAATAGATAAATAGATAAAGTATCATATTAACAATAATTTTAAAGATAATATATTTAAACACCTATCAATATGGGTCTTTTTGTCTTTAAAATCAATATATAGTATTGTTTGTCTATTTCGTAGGGAAATACTTGAGCAATTTGACTAAATTTTTTTTTTTTTTTAATAGTGAAAAATACTCAGTTTTTAACGCCTTAAATTTTCGCAATTACATTAATTCAGTAGGTTTTTGTTTTCTTGTATTTTGTACATACTTAATTCTAAAAAATTTAAAGTCTTCATTGAAAGATGTTTCAAAATTGACTTTTTTCGTAAACAATTTGTTTTATTTTTGTGAGGAATTTTAGAGGAAAAAAAGTTTGCTGCTTTTTGGAAGTCTAAAAAATCTGTGAGAACCATCTGCAGTAATTTGAAATTACTTGACTTAGTAGGCATTTTTTAACATAACAGACCAATTTTTATAATGCTCTATAGCACTGTGCATCAATTTACCATGTCCAACTTTTTTATAATTTTGTTGCTGTCTTCTGACTTTAAAAAACTAAGTAATGCTGAACTCATTATTGAATTTTTATTTTATGAAATGCAACTGTTCAACTAAAAAATGATTTTATTAGTATGAGGAATGTCTTTTACTATACTTTTTAATATTTTCATATATTTATAATTAAATATTATAACAATTATTCACACATTTAATTAAGGTATTGGTTTGTTCAATATTGGGATATTGAACAAAATGTTATAATTAACATGTTCTTTTTTAGATTTAGAACAAAAAAGATCTCAAAATTTTGATAAGCGATGATATATATATATATATATATATATATATATATATATATATATATATATATATATATATATATATATATATATATATATATATATATATATATATATACAAACACTCCTAGTCAGCATTTTTGGGAAAATGTTTTTTTTATTCCCGTAACGTTTTTTTTTTTACTTTTTTCCTACTATTTTAATCTTAATTATATAGTTTTTTAAACTTTTATTTTATTTATATTTTTATTTATACATATTAAAATTCATTAATATACTACAAATAAAAATTTTTTTTCCTCTTTTTTTTTGTTATTTTTATTTAAATATTATATTTTAAATTTCATTTTTTTTTAATCTGTTTAAAAAAACAATTAATTACAATAATATAACCATATTTAAACCTTGCCGTATCCCTAACCTTAAGCCTGAACTTGATGCTGACCTTAACCAAACCCTCAGTCGATGTATGTACCTTTTGCTCTCTATAAAAGTTGCATACATTATTTTTTTTTTACAAAAAATCAATGCTTATAGAGATAAAACACTAACAGGTACACAAATATGTTCCCGATATGCTTATGTCACCATAAGTATTCATTTTTTTGTAAAATCTGTCCCTGTAAGTGATACTATAGATGTGTGTATATATATATATATATATATATATATATATATATATATATATATATATATATATATATATATATATATATATATATATATATATATATATATATATATATTATAACATAAACATTCAACTATATAGTTCTGTAAAGTTTTCACCTTTATTTGGAGTTCTTTCTTTGTTCTCTCAAGTATTTGAGTAAGTTGAGATATTGTTTCAGATTTTAAATGAATTTCTTTATCTTTCTTTTCAACCTGGAAAATAACAAATTTAACTTTAATTATACTATAAAACTCATCTAATTAAAAAAACTTATATATCTTTAAAAAAACCTTTTCTTAGCTGTTTGATTTTTTGCTTTATAATTTTAAAAAGGAATAATCAAATATAACTATAAAAGCAAGCAAAAAACAAATGGTTATAGTGGGCACATAGCTACTACATAGTGGGCATATAGCTGCTTAATTAATGGACACATAGCTGCTTGTTACATAGCAAAAAATGTGCAGCACTAATAGATTTACACAGTGTAATTTCATTATAGAAAATTTATAAAAAAACTGTTACTTTTACATTTGTAATTTGTGTAAAATTCAGACAACCAACTCACAGGAAGTATAAGTTTAAATTTAAATTTCAAATTTTATTTTATTTATTCATCTGAAAAGTTTATAGCTATTATTAAACATACAATATATAACACACATAGACAATTTTAACTAAACATAATTAAACTACAAGAGATCCTGGTACAAAAGAGTAAATATTTAACTATAATGCAAAATACAAATAAGAAGTTACTAAAAAAATATGACATATTATGCTAAGCCAACATAACAACATTTCTGTTGCTTTTACAAATTAACCAATGCTACTAATGCCATTAAAATATTAATACTATTGCTGTTATGGTAGATGTATAAATATTTAAACTAAGTAATTAACTATTGATAATTATTATTAAATTAAAAAAAATACTTTTCTAAATTATATTAAACCAAGTGCTACAAATAGACATACATATACATGCAAAAAAATAGATTAGATTTGTTTCTCCTTTTTTACAAATACTAGCGCATTTTCTGTTCAAATGCACTATCATCTCTTGTTCCATTAACCAAAACTTAATCTCATATGAATTTTATTCATTTAATTTTGTTTTCTATAGCCTCTTAAAAGCAAGAACAAACATTATGCTTTACTAAGGTCAATCAATTGTTTATTAAACTGTTTTTCTTGGTCTTAAAAGGCTGGACTAAACAGGAATTTACTGCCGATGCTACAATTAAAGGGTATAAAATTGTATTGTTGAATTTTTTTTTTTTCTAATTCAGCATAGTCCAATTTTTGTAAACATACCGACCAGTATAAGCTATTTTTTACCTCAACACTATCCACCAGTGTTAGTAGGGTCAGATTTGAATATTCTTGAATAATAATGAAAAAATTTAACAACATAATAAAAATAGTATTAAACTTACTAGGATAATATTTTCATTTTCTTCTTTTAGTTCTTCCTAAATTATAAAAATTAAAGAATTTTGATTTTTCAGTTTTAAATTTGTGAAAACAATTATATATATATATAAAAAAAATAAGTTTCAATTTTTTTTAAATCAAACCTGCATTGACTGAATAACATTTTCTTTATACTAAAATTGAAAAAAAGATAAAATAAAACTTTGTAAATTATTTTATCCTTATAAAAAGCTATTAGCTTGTTTCAACAAAATATTTCAAATACTACAAATATATTAGATTTTTTATTTTACCAGAAGTAAAAAAATTATCCTTCAATTATCAGTAGTTTTGTCAAAATTTTATATTATTATTTTATGAAAATTTGTGTTAAATTAAATGTTGCGTTTTCACTTTGTATCTTTAATTATCTATCAAAAACTTTAGCATAAATTTTAAGACTGATATGATGTATCAAGCTTAACATTTTTACTAAAAAAAATCTATATGATATATATATATATATATATATATATATATATATATATATATATATATATATATATATATATATATATATATACATATATATATATATATTATATATATATATATATATATATATATATATATTTATATATTTATATATATATGTACATATATATGTATATATATTTATATATATATGTATATATATATATATTATATATATGTATATATATATATATATGTATATATACATATATATATATATATATGTATGTATATATATATATGTATATATACATATATATATATATAATATATATATAATACATATATATATATATATATATAATATATATAATACATATATATATATATATATGATATATATATATATATATATATATATATATATATATATATATTATATATATATCATATATATATATATATATATATGTATTATATATATATTATATATATATATATATATATATATATATGTATTATATATATATATTATATATATATATATATGTATATATATATATATATACATATATATATATATATATATATATATATATATATATATATATATATATATATATATATATATATATATATATATATATATATATATATATATATATATATATACACACATCATATATGTATACACCACACACATACACACTCACAACAAACACACGTATAATTAGTAAAGATAAATGATAAATGGAGAACTTTAAAAGTAAACAAATAAATTTGTATATACTATTTATAAAGGCTAAAAGCTTACGGCTTTATTTTGAGGAATTTCTATGACGCATACACTACAATTGGGATATCGACTGCAGACAGGAAACAGTCCATCTTTATTAGTTCTAGCTGTTTTTCGACTATCGATGGCATCAGCACTTCGAGAGCGTACTTTAGGTAGACCTAATCCAACATTAGAAAAAACACGATGTTTTCCATCGCGATTGCGAGCTTGTTCTCTGTGGGTTCGACCGTCATGATAGACGTCATCATTACCGTATTCATTTCCTAATCTTTCGCTACTATCATCTCGAGAGTAAGGTCTGTTTAGACCGTAACCAAGCCTGATAGGTTTGCGAACTGAGCTTGGAAAGTCATTGTCGCTGTGATTCTTGCCAATATACCTGTCTTCATGTTTAGGGTTACGATAACTACTATCTTTTCCTATCGTTTCAATATCTTTTAATCTTCTAAATTCATCTATTTTTCGTGTTGGTATTTCATCATCTGTTAAACGACCTAATTTTTTATCACGTCTATAATCTTCTACTTCACGACCGTAAGATTGATTAGTGTCACCAATTTTAGCATGATCACTTTTCAGACATTTACTATATCTATCTCCACCATCGTCATATGATCTGTCAGCGATAAAAGCGGAATCGTTCTGTTTTAAATTGAGTTCGTTTGCTTTTACGGAAGGTAACAGCAACTCTCCGGCTTTAGATTGATTTCTTTCTGTAGACGATTGTGTAATACGACCAACAACTTTGTAAGTAGCTTTAGTAGAACCACAATCGTTTAAATTTAATGAATCATTAGAGAGATCGACTTGTGACTCATTCGAAACACCTGCAAATTTTGCTTTTCCATTTAGAAGATCGTTGTTAGCTGATATATTATATCGGCTATCACTTGATTGATATCGGGGATCACTTGCTTGATATCGAGCGTCTCCCCTAATATCTCCTTGGTATGATTTGTATCTACCATATTCAGCCCCATTAATAGCATCGCCGTGGTAGGATTTGTATTGACTATCGTCTTTATTATCGTGATAGGACTTGGTTATTCCTGCACTCTTACCGTAATATGAGCTACTTACATCTCTTCGTGATAAACTTCCCGAGTAACGTGATTTATATCGATAACTATCGTCAAATGATTTGCTTCTAAGTCTATTTGAAAAATCAGAAGAATAGACATTGGAACTGTAACTAGGTCTGTAATTTGATGTAGACCTTCCAATTCTGTGCATTTTTTGAATCTGAAATCAGTTTTCCATTAAATTTAGAATATTTTTATTGACTTTTTTGAATGCTCTCGCATTTTGCTTGCGTAATTTTTAACTGTAGTACCAAAATCTATGCTTACTTTTTTGAAAGCTCAAACCTCATTCATAGGTGTGCATTCAATTATTAATCAATGAACCAAGCCTCTTAATTTTTAATAAGTTGAGTAATCGAGAATAAATGTTAATTGTTTTATCATTATATGTTTCATCGCATTCATCAATATTTTCAATTTAAACTTTTATCCCTACATTATTTTTTACAAAAATTTGTTAAATGAGTCCTTAAACGCTTGATAAAAACTTTTCTGATTTTGTTAAAAACGTTCTTTAAGTTTAAAAATCAATATTGAAATCAAATTAAATTTCGAATCTAATAAAATTTGTTTGAACCTTTCTCTTGAAACCTATTCATATGTTTCAAACAGAGCAACATTATATAAAACTGCAGTGTTGGCAATCCAATATATTATTCGATTTTTAATCGGTTTCTAATAGTTACAAATAGAAGTGGTAGTATTAAAATATTTAATATTTTTTATTAAAATTATTAATGTTTATATTATTATATAAATAAATATTTTATTAGATAAATCAGCCGAATATTGCAACAGACAAAATGAGTCAATCAATATTTTATCATTTAATGAATTTATAACAAAATAATGAATTTGTGGGTGAAACGTTTAACTATATTTGTTATAAATAAAGCCGACATTGTTATTTAAATATTCATTGTATTTAACATTTTTTTTTTTAGTTTATTAATAACTAAATTGTAATAAAAGTTTTATAAACAACTTCAACAACAACAAAAAAAATGTTGTTAATTACTTTAACAAGAACACACAACTTTGTATTATCAAAATCAACAAATACACAGTTTCATTACTTTATAAATTGAAAACGGGGAAACTATAATACTAAAAAAAAAGAGAAAACTTTAAAATCAAAAAGTTTAATACACTTTCCTCTTTTTTGCTTTGTTAAAAAAAGATAAAAATTTTTGGTGAATACTTTGTAAAAACTTTTCTTTAATAAGTGGTTGGCAATAAAACTAAGAACTTATAAATTCTTATAAATAATTCAAAATATTTCAAAAAATGACCTTTTAAACCAAAAAAATTTATTTTAAAGTTACGATTTAAGATTTTCTTGCAATTTAGCTCTTGATTGGTCTCTATTCTGTCCCAATCACATAAAAAGAAACAGAATTAACTATAAGAATTAAGTTGAAGTTCAAATAATAAGGCAACAATTTTTAAATTTTTAAAGATTTTTTTAAACAATTTCTTCATACTTTCATGTTTCTTTTATATTAGCTGCATAGGTTACAGGTATAGAAGTAAGTATGTTTTTGACTTGCAGTAACACTACTTTTAGACTTACTTTTTAAAAAAACTATTGGATAAACGCCATTGGTAGGGCATTAAAACGGATTTCCAAAATCTTTGTAACTCCATTTTACTATTTTAATACACTAAGTCTCCCTCTTGACTAAAATGTAACCTTAAGTGTTGATCACAAAAGAGATCCATTTGAAACATTACATGTTATGTTTATTAACATTTGCCATAGCAAGAATTTTTTTAACCAAATTGTTTACGAGATTTTAATGGTTGAATAATCGCAACACCAATATTGCAAAATTGCAACATTATCGCAAAAACAAAACTAATTTTGTTTTGTTTTTGCGATAAATTGAAAAAAACATTGCGATTGAAAAGTACTTAAAGTCAGTAAAAAATATGATTGATGCACAGATTGATGGCAACTTTGCGATATAACTCGATATAATTCAAGATAAAAAAAGACAAACCAAATGTTTCTAATTTACAACTAACCTTAAAATAAGGCAAGTCAGGGGCGGATCTAGATGCTAAGGGTTTTTTGATTCGGTGGATCTAGACCTAGAAAGGAAGGAGGCAATTTTTTGATTGTTGGATCCAGACTGGGGCGCGATATTCAGGTTTAATTATTTGTGAGCAGGCAAGTTCACTAACCATAAAACATTTTTTTCAGAATATAAGTCTTATACTCCAATTTTATTTTTTGCACCACAGAGTTTTATTTAAATTTCTTATCACTTTTAAACAGCCACCCTAAGTTTACTAACGTTTTCAAACAACATACTTTGTTAAATATATTAACGGGATGTTTGGGGATTGGCATAAGTGCGAAGCGGCATAAATACGAAACAGTTACAAAAACTGACACAAGTGCGAACTGGCATTAGTGAGAATTAGCTTAAGTGCGAATAAATTTGCAAATATTGGCATAAGTGCGAATTGGCATAAGTGCGAAATACAAATTTTTACTTATTCCAATATTTGCAATTTTATTCGGCACACTTATGCCAGTTCGCACTTATGCTAGTTTGCGCTTGTGCCAGTTTTTGTAACTGCTTCGCACTTATGCCAATGTTTGCAAATTTGTTCGGCGCACTTATGTCAATTCGCACTTATGCTAGTTTGCACAAGTGCCAGTTTTTGTAACTTCTTCGCACTTATGCCAATGTTTGCAAATTCTTTTGTCGCACCAATTCGCACATATGCCAGTTTTTGCAACGCTTCGCACTTATGCCAGTTCGCGCTTTTGCCAAGATCTGTTGATGAATTTAAGTTTACTATAAAATAAAGTTGAAACTTTTATTACATTAAAGCCCTCATGTTTGAGTGAAAGATTTTGGGTTATTTTTGTTCTCAAGAATCCATCACCACAATTTTTGGCAAAGCATCCTCATTTGGCATAAGCATGAGCATATTTAAGTTTGGATTTTGCACAATAGGTGAAAGTATCATATCTGAAACATCAAAAAATCCTGCGGGCGCTCATGTCGTAATTTCATACAAATAGGTGGCCAAATATAGTCTTGAAGATAATAATAAATTTTATTTTATTTTTTTATTTTTTTGTCATTTAAATTAACAATTTATTAACATATTTAGTTTTTAGGTAGTTTTTTAATAAAAGTACAAATTTTTATAAAAATTTGTATTTTTATAAAAAAATTTTTTTTTTTCAGTACTACTTAATAAAGGAAAGTTCTTTAGATTTCTTGGGCCCCAGTGACTTGTTCTTTTAAGGGAGGATCCCAAACCACTAGTTATACCACTGATTATCTTATTTATTATTAACTATATTATTTTGTTAGAGCAGGTTACTTACAAAAATAATCCATTACCTTCACAGACCAAATTAGGAAACTGTGTAACAGGCCAGAAATACTTAAGAGGACACTAGCATTTCTATAAAAGGTTACAAGCTTGTTTTAACTTTTGAAAAGGTATGAAATTATTTTAAAAATATCTTTTGAAATCGCATTAAAAACGCAAAAGAAAACTTTAACAAAAAATTTGCTAAAGTAATATTTTTCCAAAATGTTTACTTTTTATATTGCTACATTTTAATAATCAAGCTTTCGGGTCAGAGAATACTTTTCTGCAAACATTTCTGGTTGTAGATGTTCCTGCTCCACTAACTGCAGGGAAGTCAACTCTGAGATGCTTCAATTTTGAACATTAATTGCTGGATGAATTTCTATTTTTTGCCGTATGTTGTCTTGAATTCTTTGCTTACTATCCATTTTTTGAATTCGAGTATCTATGATATAGTTAAAAGACACTCTAAAAATCTTATCCAAGCATGTAACTGAGATATCCCATAAATAAGTGTACTTTTTTTTGCTGTAAATCTGCTTAAAATGTTCTTCAAACACGTCATTGCAGTTGTTATAGCTGCTAAAAATTTCCCGTCAATCACGCGCAAAATCAATAACAAAAAAATTCCATTAACCAATTTAATATTCACTGGATGCAAATCCAAAATTTCATTTTCTATTTAACGCTGTTTGTCTCAAACAATTACGGCATTTTTTTGATAAAATGAAGCACAATCGGCCTACAAAATCTTACATAAAGATACATCAAGTTGGTCCACAAAAAGTCATTTTGTAAATTTGACACACTGAACTTCAAAGGTGTTGTTACAATTGCAAACATAATTGAATTTTGACTGTTAACATAATCGGAAAACGCCTGGTTGCACAAAGCTTGTCCAGTAGATTCATCTATACCCCAACTGTTTAATAGCAACATATTTTCGTTTGTTACTGATATCCAAATAGTCTATCATTTCTTTTTGCCTCATTTTTACAATTCTTTCAACGGTGTGATTCATAAGTGCTTGTAAATCTGCTTTGACTCTTAAATCACTGACTTCCAAGTGATTACCCTGTGGACCACGCAACTTAAGTGCTTTTTCAACTGATGAATAAGATGGATATCTTATTTTAGATGCCTGTTGTATTCGTTTATAGCCAGACACGCTAAGATCTACGTCAATTATTATTGCAGCGGATTCTTCAACTAACATTTTATCACATGTCAGCTGAACAAACATATGATGTGAATATGAAATTTATGATTTTTGATAAATGTGTTAACACATTGAACAAACAAAAATCTTTTTGATTATATACTTTTTTTCGGGCTATATGTAATGATTTTTCAATTGAACAAAAATTTAATCAGATACTTATTTTAAATAATTATCTAATTAAATGTCAATGAATAATAGTAAATTGTCATTTTCAATTGATTATTAAATACAAAGTCTAACTTTATTTTTTTGCTTTAAATGTTCCGAGAAGATCTAACAGTTTTGCCACGGAGTACATCAGAACAGTATTAAACTAGAAAGTTCAAACCTTTTTTCTTACCGATGGTGCGAAGTATGCCTAGAACTTGCTTTGAACCCTAGATCTACTGCTTCTAAAGCAAGCGCTCCAACCACTGCGCAGCAACCACTGCGCAGCAACCACTGCGCAGCGGTTGCTGTATAATCATTTTTTATAAACTAAAGTTGTTATCTTTTAGCTTGTAATTAACCATAATTTATTTTGTCTTGTCATAGAACAAGTGAAGCCAAGTAATTTTTGATTTATTAATAAAACATACGCTTACAAAAAACAATTTATGTCAAAAAAAAAAAAAAATCTAAAAATTCAGTAATAAAGAAAATTTAAGTAATAGAATCTTGACAACCCTTAATGTTTTTGAACAAACTTAAACGATTTTTTTATTTTACCCAATTCATGTTCCCAAGGTTGAGTGGGCCAATTTAGTCGGGGACGCTACTTCTTATATTGGTTACAACCTTCTTTCAACTCTGAAAGAGGGTAATCAATAGAAAAAGGTTGATATACATAAATCATATAATATATTTTATAATTCTTCTTTATAAATTGAAAAAAACTTTATAGCTTTCGAATTTAACTGAAAGTTAAATGAGGTTTTGAAATTGTTACCGAATTTAACTGAAAGCCGATTTTATATTTCAACTTCGGCACCGAAGTCGAAGCCGAAGTCAACTTCACCTTTCAGTAAACTTTGTAATCCGAATTTTAACGAATATTCGCCGGTCCTTAGTTTTTTATTGTTTACAAATATTCGGTGATTTTATTATCTACAAGTTTGAAGTTTTAGTTTGATACAATGGGGGAGAAGTTATATAAAAGCTGAAACGTTTCTGTTTAATAATTTATTCAAACGACTATAAAGAGATTATGGAAGTAAATTACTATAAGTGAAAAATAATGTGAAAACTTCGATTTTAACGTTTTTTACTGTTTACGGAAAGATAAAATAAGAGGTTTTTAGTCATTTATTGAATATTTTAATGCTGTAAACAAGGAGTCTTTTTACTTTCGAGTAAAAGAGACATTTTTGGAATGTAATTACTTAACACATATGTTTCAGCTCCCAACGGGCATTTGATGGTTTAAAATTGGTTTAGATCACGTTTAGATGGCATTAACGTTGATCTAAACGTTTAGGAACCTATTCTAAACGTGTTCTGAATATTTAATTTGCGTTGAAAAGCTAAATCAAACGATTTCCGTACGGAATAAATTAGTTTCGCACAAAATGTGTCGGACATTTTGAATCTTTCATTATGATAAAAAATTAGAATTTCTTATGAATCTTAAATTATGTAATAAATGGTTTAGAAAAGATAAAAGAAATTTGTTTCTAGTATTATACTGTGGCTAATGAGGCAGCTAAAAAGTCCTGTAAGTTCTTCGATAATGTTGTATAAGCGATTAAAAGTAATTTTAAGTACAGTAACTAGGTACGTGCGTATCTGGCTATTTACGGCACCGATTTGTAAGTAAAAAACTGTGACCGTTTTTTTCACAGCGTGCTCGAAGTCGGTGTGGTAAGGATGTATTTATTAGTCTTTTTTTTTAGAATTTTATACCAGCTTAGACTTTTTTTGAAAAGTAGAATGTTTTAGGTTGTATAAATTATGTTTTTTTTCCAAAAGTATTAAGTTTTTCAGTGATTTTATTGCTCTTTAAAATTTTGTTCGTGTTCTGGAAGTGCATTGATATTGAAGGCATGTTGCTACACATTTAAAATTTTCCAGTCAGCTGTGTAAATCTATTTTCTATGTTCCTGCCAAATTTCATTAAAAAATATTCATGCGCAGACACCCTATTTTGCCACCTAGTGGAGGTACATTTTCCACCTTTTTTACAACTACTGTTACTGTTACACTTTATTAAACTGTTTCTGTTAATGTTACTGTTACTTCTTGATATAAATTCCGTTGTTTTTTTTACATTTACTAGTGATTTTTATTAGATTTTCAAATTTCGTTTCTGTTCTGGAGGTACATAAATATTGAAGGCATGTTGCTACACTTTTAAAATTTTCCAGTAAGCAGTATAAATCTATTTTCTATGTGCCTGCCAAATTTCATTAAAAAATATTCATGCGCAGACACCCTATTTTTCTGTACAGTGGAGGTATGTATTTCCACTTCCGTTTAGGCGGGGAGGGGGGGGGCGTAATTTGATGGTGAGCATTTGGTATATTAGATTGTTTATTCATAATAATGAGATATATAGATAGTTTTCATTAAAAAGGTATACAATTTTTTTTTCAATAGCCTTTTATTAGTAATAAATGGCTATTGAATAAAAAAAGTTGTTAGTAATAATATTACTAACACTATTGTTGTTAGTAATAATATTACTAACACTATTGATGATTTCACACACCAAAATTAGTTTCAAGGCTAAATTCTGTTAAATCTAATTTAAAATGCTGAAATAAAAATTATGACACTTTTTTATGGTGATTCAGAATAAAATGCGAAATAATGATAACAAACAAAAACAGCATTTTCTCAATTTTTTTCTGTACCCATAATTTACCATATAACCACCAACCAGCATTATTTATGATATATAAAAATTATATATATCTATAATTTTTTATTGATCTAAGGCAATTTATTAGTTAGTTAATTGTGATTGATTGCTGACCCAATTAAATAGTAATTAAATATTAATAATGATTAAATTACAATTAAAGTAGTGTTATGATCGTTGAATTTAATTTAGTGCATCATGGGACCTAAAAAGAAAACAAATCTATTTTATGGTAAAGCTAAATCTTATTTAGTTTGTAATTTTCCAATACCAGCTCATTTAAATATGGGCTGTAGAAATGGACATGTACTGCATATATTGGCAACTAACAATGATTCATACCAAGTAACTGTAGAACTAATCAGTAAGTATTTTAACGTCAACATTTCTCCCAATCAGATTCTGCAACTAGTTAGAAAATCAAAAGTCTTTGTAAAAGCTTTTTCACGAAATTCAAAACAATTTATTGACATCTGCAACATGCTCTTTGAATACCAACCAACAACATCTGCTGTGACTCAAACATCACAGTTAATCACAACCTCTAATCACATTGCTACGTGTTCTTCATTTTTTTCTCAGCAAATCACTGTTTCGTCTCTATCAAATAGTGACTCTTCTCAAGAATCAATATCCAGGTTGAGAGCTGACCAGGTTAGTCCCAGGAAAAAGATTATGAGAAAGAGATTAACCATTTTGGAAAACGAAATCGCAGTTAAAAAGAGAAAACATAAAGAAGATCTTAAAGGTTTAAGAGAAAAGACCATACAGATTAAAATATCTAAATCAAGTTATTGCTCGTAAGGAAAAGATAATTCATCAACTTAGAAAAAAATTAAAAGAAAATTTTTTAAATATACAGTTAAAAAAACTTCAAAATCAAATTTTTTATTTAAAACAACAGTTAACATTCACCGAAACCAAGTTTTTTAATCAAAAGACAATGTTATCCCAACAACTTGCTGACAAAAATTCTGCAATTCTTGTACTTCAAAATGACATACTGGTTTTACAGGAAAAGTTAGAAGATATTCAGCAAGTAACACAAAACACCAAAAATGAAAAATGCTACTCAGCAGATATCAGAACACTTATATATGACATGCTTGTGTGCCAAGTTCCTACACATAGTGTGCCATCTCTGCTCTATAAAATTGGAGAACATACTGGCTATCAATTTAGTCAAATTCCACATCGGACAACTGTAGAACAAATGATGCGTGAGCTTGGTGTTCTTTCAGACTTACAGACTGCTGAGATAGCATTTACAACAAAAGATCTGACACTTGGTTTTGATGCAACAACCCAGGAGGGTGTTCATGTAAATGCTGTGCACTTAACAACCGAATCAGTATGTATGGTTGTAGCTATTGATCAACTTCCTGGAGGTACAGCTTATGACTATCAGAGTCATATTACAAAATCTGTTGATAATCTTGCTAAGTTATATAGTGACTTCTATAAGCTTAAATACACTGATGTAAGAAGCACTATTATCGGGAACATAACAAATACCATGAGTGATAGAGTTGCAACAAACCATGCAACAGTCTCAAAGTTAAACCTAGTTTAACAGAAATCATTAAATGAACTTAACTGTCACCTTCACCCCTTGGATACAATGACAAGCTCTTGCAAGTCTTCACTTAAAACATTAGAGACTTCAAAAGGGAAACTTTTTGGAAGAGACTGCATAGCAGCAAACATTGTTGTACAGCTGAACAAACTTCGTTACAAGGATGCTAAAGGTACCTATATAGTTTTAAAACCATTCTTTTACTTTAATATAGTGTAGTTTTGTAAATAAAATTACAAGTTAAAAATATATAAATATTATAATTATTGCATGTTTTTAATTCATATTCTCCTTGCAATTCCCAAAATGACTTTCTTTATGTTATTCATAGGCGATCCAAAGGGTTTTGTAACCTTTTTGGACCAACATGAGTTGCCCAGAGGATTGCTACCACGCTATAGAGGGAACAGACTACATATACTTTTTCACACATGTGGTATTTTGATCCATCATTATGCCATATTGAAGATATTTCTGTGTTCTGGCTTGGCGTTATGTGGAGGTCTGCGAAATAGTTTGTTTCAAGACTTTACATCTGAAATAGGTATACCACTATTATTTACAATATTATAGGTTATAGAATGCATCTTTATAACATAATAATGACACATGATTAACAAAGAATAAAGACAAATTTTTTTTTTTTTTACTTATTAACTAATTTACCTTAGGTATCCGTGAGTTGTGTGTTTTAGCTTTAATTGGAAAGCTACTTTCTGGCCCTTGGATGAAAAAATTTTATATTGCACCAGGTACAGGACTTGACTACATATCTGGCATTCAGGTAGTAAAAGATGTTAGGAACACTCTTATTGAGAGCAGCAAGAATCCCTTATCTCTACTTAAACGAAAAACTGATTTCTTTGGTAATGATATTAAAGATGTTGTTTTTGATTCAATAATCAGCTTTTGCCCAGTAACTAATGAAATGAGTAAAGCATTAGGTGACTGTCTTAATGCTGTTATTAGCGTCATTGACAGGCAGTACTAGCGTCATTTCGAAATGAGTTCCAATGATCTTCTTAAAGACCAGACTAAGTCAGCTAGGCTTCACAACATTGATTCAGAAGAACTTATGGGTATGTTTAGCGCTGCAAAGCACAAAGCTCCTAATGCTACTCTTTGTTTTCTTTCTTCGAAACTTCGTGCTTGCAAAAATAAAACAACTGCTCTGCTTTGTAAAAAGCCAACTGATATTCAAAACAAGTTGATATTATGGGCTATCTCTAATGCCAGGAAAAATCGATTTACAAGTATGCAATGTCATAATGAACTGAAGTTAGAACTGCTAAAACGAATGGCAGATAAAATTCAGAAAAGGGAGGACAAAGACCGCAGAAAGGTAGAAAAAATATTAAAAAGTTGCATGCCCGATCAGGTAAAAGAAATGTTTCCTGACCTAGAAAATAACGAGGCCTCAGATATTGAAGAAATTCTTATTGGAGCTGCTATTGGAAGAAGTATTTGCCACATGTGGTTCGATAATGCCAATAACACCCATGAGGTATATTACGGCAGAATTGTTAGCATTAAAAAGAAGAACAATGATATATATACAGTTTCTTATTGGAAACCAAATGAAAATGAAGATGATGACGGTGTTGAGTATGATATGAGTAAATATCAACTTTCTGCAGACATAATAGGCGGTGATATGGTGATAACATAACAGAATTGTGTAATAATAAGGTATATTTTATTTTAAGTATTAGTATGTCTTATAAACTTGCATTAACAGATAATATTTACAGATAGTAGGTGAATTTCTTTTTTTTTTTTTTAAATAAATTTTGCAATGCCTAATATATATCTAATTCCTTCCTTTTTTTGTAGTATTATGAAAAGATTTATAATTTTTAAATTTGTTTTTATATATACATATATTTATATAGAAGTTTAATTTTAGGTAGTCGGGTAGTTACCGACATCCAACAACCAGGGTTGACCTGGTTGCAACGTGCTATGGGAAACCAAAGCTCATTTACTTTTTGACATAAGCAAATTGCTTGGCTTATGACAATTAATGTTTATCATTGATGTTTATCATTATCAATGATGGCAATGCATTTTTCTATCAAGTATAACAGAGTTTCACTTGCGTGGATTGAGAGATGTTAGTGTTCCATTACAATAAATCCCTTTAAAATTAAAATTTTTATTTATTATTTATTTAAAGTTATCTGGCCATTACCAGAGAGTAATGACCAGATAACTTTTTCTTCATTATAATTTTTAATCAAATCTTTTATATTTCAGGTTAAACAGTATTGAAGGGTCTGCTATCGATTTTTTTGTTTGGTAATGGGAAGTTTGTTGTGTATCAGGAGTTGAGTGATTTTGAATTTTTTAACTTAATAAATCATTCTTATATTTAGTAATCTCTAATGGGTTTTTTAGTTATGGTGCTAAATATCTAATGCATATTCATTTATTTTTTATTGCAAGGTTTTAACAATAATGGCAATTTGCTACTGTGGATATTTATGTTAAAGACCTCAAGATTATATTTATTAATTCAGTAATTACAGTTAAATGTTAATTCATTATACATTAGTTAATTGTTAGCCTTAATTTTTATATTTTTTTAAATTTTATATCTGATATATTTTTTCTTATTGCAAGGTTAAACAACATGATGAAAACTACATGGTTGCTTCAGTGGATGTTGATCTTTTTCATATCAAGATTAAACCGGTTAGATCATATTTATTTAGAGGTTTATTATGTTTATTAATGCAGTAATAACAGTTATATTATTTATTATCCGGGACATAGGGCATCCTTATTAAATAGGTATTGCGATATAGGTATTGAGAAATTTTTACTTTATTTTAGATATCATTGGATGTGGTTTCCTTTGCGTACTAAAGAATCGACTCTTTCTATCTATGGATGTCACAGTTTTGTTTGCTTCAAAATCTAGGCTTTTTTCAAAGCCACAATTCTGTTAAAAACATTACTGAGCAAAAAAAAAAATTTTTTTGTTAAAGAAGTGTGTTTTAAAATAGTTTTAGTTTTTGCGGTTTGTTGGAATTTATATATAATTAGATATATGGGGCTATGGAAGGGAAAAGGAAGGGGAGCAGTGGTGGACATCCCCCCACCCACCCCACCCATTTGTTTAGTTGGATATTTTTTTAGTAGGTTTTTAGTTAAACTATATGATGTAATTGACACGGCTTTTAAAGTGGGGAGGGGGGCCAACTCCCTAATTTAAAAATTCTAAAAAAAAGGTCCTCGAAGCAATTAGTGGGGGAGGAGGCATAGCCCCCTATGGTGTCGACGGCCATGAAAGAGGGAGGTGAGACCCCTTCCGTGAATGAATTTTTTGTTTATTTAGTTGGCAAAATATATCTTTATATCTATATCTTTCATTGAAAAAGATAAAAATAAGCATAAATATAGAGCGAAAACACTAAGGCTTTAAATGTCTTTAAAGTTCATCTATACGCTATAGAAAACCTAGCCTTGGTACATATTTAATAACATAAATATATATAACCTTAACCATTATTATGTATAAATGTATATATATATATATATATATATATATATATATATATATATATATATATATATATATATATTTTGTAAGTATCGTTAAAATACACGATATTTTATTTAAAATTTTGTTATAAATTTTAATATTAGATTTTTATCATTAAAAATATTTTTGTTATAAATTGTTAAAAAAATTTTGTTATATTAAAAACTTTTTTAAAAATGTTATTAACTCGTTTTGCACATTTCACTAAGCAAAATCATGCGCAAATTAACAATAACGTTCTACAACAAAGCTACCGTTAGCCGAACGCGAGTTTTTTACGATGGTTGCATTTTTCCTAAGCAATCCTTCATAAAAAAAAATGTTACTTAAATAAGCATAACTTTTTTTGTAATTGTTCGTTTTTCATAAAATTTTCACCATTTTAATATAAATTCAAAGCTCTTTCGAACCATATATAATACTTAAATGAATAAATGGTTTAAAATTTTTACACACGTACCTACAGTAACTATGTATTTTGATAATTTTTTTAGTTATTGCTACTAATATAACAGTTTCAAAAAAGTAGCAGCAGTTTCAAAAATGTATCAGTTTCAGCATTTTTTAAAATTATTTCCTTAATTGTTTTTTCTGTTTGGTTTTTAACAACGCTATAGAACGTCTATAGTTAACTCTTAGCTTCCTAATTTTTCTACCACTTAAAATGCATTAATTTTTTCTAAAAGTTTTAGAGAAAAATTATGCATTTTAAATGGTAGCTACTTTTTAAATAACTAAACAAAATTATAATTTTTGTTTACATTAAGACCTAACATCTATTTGTTTATGTCATAAACAGATCAATATAACATCTTTCATAAATTATGATAGATGTTATATTGATCGAATAGCAATGTTATAATATTTATACTTTTAGTGCAGACAGTGCCAATCAAAAATTGTGAGGTTCAAATATTTATATAATGGAGCTTTAGTTTTAGTGTAGGCTTTTAGTGTAAACTAAAAAATATTTTTAAAAATTTAAGTATTATTCATACTCCTATATGATAACCACTTAAGAGAAAATAAACTTACTTATGTCTGATATGATAGATTATTATATTGTATCATTTATTTTCTATTTAGTAGAAAAATTAACATGGCTTGAACAATAATATATATACTACATATAATATAGCTATATTATATAATTTTCTGAAATCCACGCAAATATATTTTTTATTGTTAATTAAGTTTTGCGTGTTTAATTTCATTTAATATTTTATATACAGTCCAGTCAGTTGCAACAACAATTAAAGCAGCAGGAAACAACCAAGTACACATGCAAGTGGTAAATTGATTTTTTGTGACGTTTTTACTCCTTTAAAGTTTAAATTTTCCTTAAATAATAATTAAGTTAATGGCTATTTCTGTAAAGATCATTCTGTAAATAAAAACTGCAGTGATTTTTAAAACTAATAGTTATTTTTTTAATAATCACAAGATAAACTGCAAATTCTGTTCTTTTAGATATGATTCTAATAGTTAAACATCTGTCAGATGTTTACCTTTTAAATCATTATCTAATTGCTCAGGCTTATGAAAAGTTATTTATAAAAATTCAACGCTTAAAAATAATGTAAGATTAAAGGTAATTCCTGTTATATTTGAAAGGTACGTTGATTATTGGTTCGAGTCTTTAAAGTTTAAATTAGTTAAAAGAGAATTCAAATTGTTCTGTTTTTATCTTATGCTCTATATCTAAAAGCTATTGTAATATTTATTGCATTATTTTTCATTTATTTTATTATGTTATGAAAGACCTACCAAGCTTGAAATTTTACTGGTTGAAATATATAGTATGTATATGTATATCATCCCTTGGAATTAGGAAAACTAAAGTTACCAAAAAAAGCTAAAAAACTAGACGACTAAACTTATTTAAAATATTTTTAACAAGTTTACTTACAAATTAATGTTATGTGTTGATGTACCTTCAACCAAATTAGTGTTAACATTTTAGCAAAATGTCATATTGCCAGGCTGTTTGGTTGGAAGAACCAAAAGCTTGATATTTTATTGAATTGTTATTTTAGTTTGTGATATTATAATTTTTATTTACAAAATGTTTAATAATTTATTTTTTAAATTTATTTGTCATTGCTTTGGATAAGATGTTTTGTTATTCCTTTTACAGACAATGAGGATTGCAAAAGTTTTAAATATCAGAAACTGAAGAAGGAATTGATAATTAGCAGAACAAAAAAGCGCAAAAGTACTGATTATACAACTCTTTTAAAGGTTTCATTTTAATTTGTTAATGTTTATATAGAAACTAATAATATATAAGCTGAAAATAATAACATAATTAATCCATAATTGTGCATTATTCTAATCTAAATTAATTTTTTTTCAATTTCTTGTTAATGCAATAACAGTAGAAATGATAATAGAAAAATTAAACTAAAAATTAAATAAATCGCTTGTTAAAGCAAATAATATTATATATATATATATATATATATATATATATATATATATATATATATATATATATATATATATATATATATATATATTATAAAATAATAGTTTTGTTTAGTTTGTTCTAATTTTTACGTAAAAAATAAAGAAGCAAGTTTTAATTAGTAAATGATTAACCATTTTTATGGTATAGTAAAATAGTTTTTATTTTTCAGTTGAGGAAGAATTTTATGTGGAATGTTAATGCAAAAGGTACAAATATTGACAGGTTAGCTAATTTGATGTTACAATAAACATGAAATAAAGTTTGTGAAGACCTTAGTTCCAAAAATACTTGCATGCATTATTCATGCATGCTATATTATAATATAGCATGGATGCATTCAAGTATAAAAAAAAAGTTACAAATGTTTAATTATACAAAAAGATTATTTATGTGGTACCGCAAGTATATTCAATTGATTATGTAATTAAGTATGTATGTACTTTACATCTTTGAAGACTAATAATAATTGTAATGAACATATCTCAAACAATATACACTCGGATTTACATTTTAGTTAAACCATCACCACCTCCACAGCCACCTTATCTCAAGCATTCAATTGCATTCTAAGTTATCTTTATTCAAATCAAGTGTGACTACTATACCAAAAGACTGTAGAATGGACCAATCAAGTAAGCTGTCTAAATTTATATCTTTTATATAGAACTCCTTTACTTTTAGATAAACCTGTTAATTTTATGACTTATGAACATATTTAGCAATGTAAGCCTTTTAGGATAGACTTTTTAAAATCAAATTTACAATGTTTTAGTAAATTTTTATTTACTAAAACATTTTTATTAACTTTGTATACATAATATATCTATATAGTTATTTACATTGTAGCTAACCCATCAGTACTTGCAAAGTCTTTTTTTCTGTAAGCCCGAAATTTGAGTTCTAAAATACCATTATCCACATAACTACTATATCAAAGCACTAACTAATGGATTGATCAAGTAATACTTAATTTTTACCTTGAGTTGCGTGTTAGTACGTATATGATTTTGATATATAAGTTTTAATTATTATGTTTGTTGTTTAGTTTTTAACTTTAAAGATTTTAAGAATTACAATTTTATTTTTACATGTTTATTTATATTGTAGTGAAACTTTAGGTATCTCCACAACTTTTCAATTAAATAGAAAGTTTCAATCAAACAGGATACTGAGTGTGCCTACTGCTCCTCAAGACAATGAATAATGGGAGTTATCAAACTTTATATATATATACATATAATATATATATATATATATATATATATATATATATATATATATATATATATATATATATATATATATATATATAAAATGAGTAGCCTCCTCGAATGTAGTGGCCCCCTCGGGCCTTGGGGAGGTGAATAATTAATATATATATATATATATATATATATATATATATATATATATATATATATATATATATATATATATATATATATATATATATGTTGTACAGATATTGTTATAAAGTAATAGAATACTATATAATATTGTATTACTATGTTTAGAAAGGGCACTGCAGTTGTCTTGCAGTTATGCAACCCATAACTGCGATAACTACAAGTTTTTTTAATAAGGTTTTTATTATATAAATATTATATATTTTACAGAGTTTTAAAGAAAAGTTCTCTATCAATTATTACTATAGTTACTCAATGTACACTGTACTAATGTACAATCTTCTATAATCTATAAAACTATGGATTTATAAAGTTGTTAAATAAATGATTTATATGAATAGAATAAAGATGTTTATTGAGTTATTTTTATTATTTTTAGAAAAGAGATTGTATGACTTCGGTATCCGCAATACGGTATCGTGCATTGATTCCCATCTTAGAATGGCTCTCTTCCGTATAGGTGGAAATAGGAAAGGTTATGTCTTTTTTTCCAATTCTTAAAACGAAGAGGCTTAATCGGTTCAAACAAAGATGACGATGATCATTATGGAGCCGATCATAATGAGGAATACGATAATGCATATAATAATAAATAAAATGATTTTACTTGTATCTTAAACTTATTTAAATAAAAAATTATTTGTTTAATGTTTGATTTGTTTATGAGTATTTAGATACTGCGTTCAGCGTTTAACTTTTCTTTACGGTGCTTATTTAAAGCAGCTTAAATAAAAGAAGAGTTTGATACGTTTATCGGTATTTTTTATTTATTTAAGCTTCTTTAAATAAGCGCCGTAAAATAAAATTAACGTCGCGAAGTTTTAATCGAAAGATTTAGATGGAGTTTAAATAGCGTTTAAAACGAACCATTTAGATATGGTTTAAATGGAACATTCGATTGACCTACGTTCTAAATCGAAACTAAATTAAATCTAAACATTTAGAACGAACATTAACTAAACGTTGATTAAATGTTCGAATGCCCGTTGGGCTGTTTTTTATGACGCTATCCCGTCGCGTTTTATGTACTTTAGTGGTAGTTTTGTTTTGCTTGATGCTTTGGTTAAAAAAAAAAATTATAAAAAAATAATAAATTATATAAGAAAAGCTTAAACTCTACTTTTTAAAAATATATTACAATAATAGTCAAAAATAAGCGAAAAACACAAAAAATTAAAGTTTAAAAATGTAAATTTTTGTTTTTAAGAAATGCAAATCGTTTCGATCTCTTCTTAACTACTCGGTGTAGTTAAGGCATTTTAAAAATATTATAGCGTCTGTATGATATTTTGTTGACTACGACATATTTCCGGTAAATGGTCTGGTCTGTGAATTATGAAAAGACGAAAAATATTAAAATGATAAATTTTGTAGTATTATAAAATATAAATGTTTGTAGCGAAAAAACCCAGACCGAAGATTCTTTTTCATCTTCAAAATCACAATCGCTCGTCCAAATTTAAATAAAATTTTATATTAGTACGTTTTTTAGGTGAAATGAACATTATATTTTAACAATATGATCTGTTCTGATTGTTTATTGGCAATTTTCCATAATTATAAGCTCTTTCTTGGTCGGAATTTAGTATTTTTTGTGAAAATTGATAGACATTGTGCTTTGACAACTATATATAGTTAATTTACGTCAGAACCAATTAGAACTAGGATCAGTAGTAAATTAAGGAACTTTTTCAAAAGATTTTAACTAAATTCCGATGAGCGGAATTGATCTAAAGACTCCAAAATAGTGTTCTTTAGATTCACTATTACGGGTGGTATTGAAAATTATATATAAAAAAGAAAAGTTTCTTTAAATATTATAAAAACCTTAAGCAAAAAAAATTATAACATATAAAGATTATGCTTGGACATAATATGCTGACAAAACCATGCTAATTCCAAATAAAAGTATTCAAATATTTTGTAAATTGCCTTAACTACACCGAGTACGCTGAGTACTGTATATTCCGTAAACATTTACCTTATTTAGCCTTAAACCATTAATAAAAAATAAAATGACAGATGTCTTGATAATACTGTATATAAATCTTATAATATTATATTGCAGACTAAAATTATAAAATACCTTCAGTTGTCTTTCCAATGATTGTTTTTCAGCATCAATGAACGTGATTCTTCTTCTTAATAAGGTAAGATCATCGGAATACGAATTCCATTTGGCGTCCTTTTTTTGTGAATTGCTTTTTGATAATAATATGCTTTGCCGATAATAAGGGAAGTTGCGATTCATATTTTTTTCCCTTTTTTTGAGATCTAACTTATTTAAAAAGGTGTTACTCGCCAACCAATCGTCTTTCATGTTTTTTTTAAACTTTTTGTTGTTGTCGTTTATACTTATCGTTGGTGTTTTATTATGTTTTGAAGAAAAGAAACCCTTTTTAACAAACGTTGATGATAGATTATGTTGAACGGGAGAGTGTGAGCGAGATCTATTTTTTTTAATTGACTCAATTGAGTCAAAATCATCTGGGATTACTGAGCGTGATCTTTTTAAATGTGGATCAAAACTATTAATGTTTTCGCAGAAATGCATACTTTCGTGCGAAATAAACGATTTTTCTAACTGGGTACTTTTAACAAATGAAATTTTTGGTAAAATCAATTTTGTGTTTTCTTCAAGGTCATCTTTGTAACTTATTGTTTTATTATCACCCAACGGTGTAGAGGCACAAGATTTTGAAAGTAATGGACAAGGAAGATTATTAAATTTATTAAAATCATTTTTAGAATCCAATTGAAAAACAGAATACTGCGATGTTGTATCATTTTGAGAAGAGTTAACTGAGCTTATAGAAGAACTAATATCTGCGAGATTTGTTTCAACATTTTTGCTATCAAAACTCGAAGTATTAAAGTCATTCAAGCAACTACTACGATTGTTCGTTTCTTTTTCTTTATCTTCTTGCAAAACATCTGGACCAATATGCAATTTATCATTTTTTATTGTAGAATTTAAGCAATCCATTGACAGCAATTCATTTCTTAACGTATTAAAAAAAAATTTGTCTTCAGATGAACTGTTTTCTTTTATTGTACAGACCTCTTGAGAATCGAGTTTTAGATTAGGAGAAACCGTACCTGAAGTAATTAAGTACGAATAACTGTTTGGACAACAACTTAAAATTATTTCCTCAACTCCTGAATATTTCTTTTGAAATGATTTCGATTCTTTTGAATTTTTTTCATTTTGAGAACTTCCTACAACATACATTTCTGCTGGTGGGCAACAAAAAGGAGTTAAAGTATTGTTCACACTGGCTGGCGGAGGAGGCGCTAAGCACCTTGGTGTTTGTGGGCTGTTAATATTGGTATAACAGTTTGTGAGTGTAAAATTACCAAGAGTTTCATATAAACCATTTTTATCTTTTTTAACAATATTATCTTCGTCCCTAACTATCAAATTACTATGAATATAATCAGAGTTCTCTATTGAAGTTTTTATAGGTAAAAAGTTGAAGGTTTTAGGTTTTGTCGACTTAATACTTGTATCGAATAACGATTTATCAAAATTACTGACATTAGAAAAGTCTTCTTGCAACTTTTCATTTAACTTGAAACTTTGAAGTTCCAAAACCTTTCCATAATCCAAAAGAGCCATTACGTCACCATATTCTTTATTAGTTATGGAAAACGGTTTTTCTACGTCTTTATCGTATATTTCTTTTTTCATTAAGAGGAAGTCTTTTTTATTTGAATTTTGACTTTTGTTGTGATTATTGAATGATGAAGCATAAGCTTGATCATTTAAAAAAAGCATGTTATTGAAAGGAGAGAAAAGGTCTTGTTTACAGCACTCGCTGTTTTCTTTTAAACAATCGCTTTTAATCTGTACTTCAGTTAATTTTTCATTTTTTGCGCCTATCTCATACCCCAATAAATTTTCAGCTTTGAGAGGCGCGTCAAATCTCATAGTATTTATAAAAAAAGAGTCGTGAATTTCAAAGTGAGTCTCTGAAATGTCTCCCGCTGATTGATCAAAGCGGTCACTAATCACTTTAAAATCATTTGATGTGGAAGTTGAAGTAGAAGTTGATGAATTTAAGTCACTGATCTTAGCAGGCATATTTCGGTTGTTAGGCGGAGTTACTCCGCATGTTGAGCATTTGGAACCCATTCTCGCGTTACTATAAAAAAATGGTGAACTAAAAGGGGTATTGTTTTCCAAACTTCTTATCAATGACTCTGAACCACTACTTAAAGAAATAAATTGTTTTTCATTTAGTTTAAAATCGCTTAAATTTTCTCCAGAAGTTTGAGAATCAGTTTGATTAGAACTATTAAAACCACTCGATTGAGATGCAATGCTGCAATTAAAAGCACTCGATGAAGATATGTTGCTGCGATGACTAGCCAATGGATTATTTCTCGGAGTTGACTGTTGTTGTTTTAGACTTTCATTCAAGTAGAGATAAAAATCACTTAAAGAGCTATAATCTTTTTTTATATCTGCCCATTGCAAATTAGCTGTTTTTTCTTTTTCTTCTTTAGAAATTAAACTAGCATGCATTAATTCAGGGACGTTTTTATTTTCTGCATTTTCATCCGAAGTGTTTTGATTATTGTCAACGCCATCACGAATATCTTTCTCGACTACTTTATTTTTTCCAGTTAGAGCATAGTCTTTTAGAACTGATTCAATAAATTTGTTGTCAAGAAGATGCTGATTTTCGTTTAAAAAAGGAGATTCAAATGACAGAGTGTCGCTGTTTCCAGTTAATTCCGCTGGATAACCAAGGTCATTAAGGAAAACAATCGGGTCGCAATGCACATCACTTAAAACTACTACTTTCATTAACTCTTCAACAACAATATTCTAAACCAAAAATATAAACATCAACAAGTGTAAAAAATAATAATAATAATAATAAATAAATAAAAAAAGGAGTAATATTTTTTCAGTTCGAAATAACATACTTTTAAAAGTTTTAAATCTTCTATGTGAGACGAAGAGTTCCGTCTTGAAGTCTCATCTTTAAAAGATGTTTGTTGTTCGAAATTTGCTGTTTTTATTTGAGAACGCATATCACTTGTTTGATTTAAAGCATCTTTTGTAACTAGTATTTCGTTCATACATGTTTGTGTTGATTGATTCAAATCACTTTTTGCAGTAGCATTTCCCATTTCTCTAGGAGTTATCTGATTAAAAAAGTCATTCATAAAAGGCAAATTACTAAAATCAGAAGATGTTGTTTTAACGGCTGCGAAATCTGTTGAAGTTGATTGATTGTAACTACATTTTGTTTTAAGCGAGCTGTTTATAGTTCTGGGTGTTGTGTGATAAAAATCATCTATTATGACAGGTGATAGAAGTAAATCGGTTTGCGCTGTTTGGTTAATATTTTCATGAGTGATCGCATAGATATTAGTATTTTTATCTGATATACGAACAGAAGACTCATTTAACAATGTTAAATTTTCAGAGACATCGACATATGAACCTTCAAGGGATCTAAATCAACATAAAACTGAAAACGTCGTGAATGGTAACCTGAATTTTAACCTATATTTTAAATCGTCTCGTTTAAAAAAAAATCATTTTTTTAAAAATATTAAAAAATTTTTCTTTTACATAATATTTATAAAGATAATTGATATACATTAATGTTGTATAAAAATTAAAAATAAAAAAACAAAGTTTCGGTCTTTATTGGAAATTTTTATCTACTTTAGAAACGATTTTTCTTGATCAACTTATTTCATTTGTATTTTACGAATGTTTATTTGTAATTTACGAATGTTTCATTTGTAATTACGAATGTTTCATTTGTAATTTACGAATGTTTCATTTGTAATTTATGAATGTTTCATGTGTAATTTACGAATGTTTCATTTGTAATTTACGAATGTTTCATTTGTGATTTACAAATGAAATAAGAAAATCAAGAAGAATTATTTCAAACAGAAATAAAAATTTCTAATAGAGATAAAGAATTTGCAATAAAAGACCGAGACTTTTTTTTAAACTAACGTTTTTTACTGCAACAGATTCAATGCAGTTTATTCTGTATATATTATAAAGCTGATATACCTCTTTCAACTCAAACACATTTTAAAGAGCAAAAATGTTAGATTTTTATAAAATTTTTGAGTTAATTGAGTAATGCAAACAGCAAAATAGTAATGCAAATCTTTTTGAGAACATTAAAATCTATACCTATCCACAATAAATTTAAGTTTACAAATTCTCATAGAAATAAAACAATTTATTTTCAGTAAAATTACACTTACTGTTCAGGGCTGACGACACGGGTTTTGAAGTAAGGGGGCACAATCATCAATTTTTGAAAAAAGTCCTCTATATCAAGATTTTTCTTTTAAAAAAAAAAAGGTCCTTTAGAAAAAAAGTGGGAGGGGGAGGGGGAGGGGGAGGGGAAGCGCCCCTGCCCTCCCCCCCCCCCCCCCTCCGGTGTCGTCGGTCTTGCTGTTCTGTATAAAATATTTTAAAAAATTAAAAAAAAGTTATTTTTACATAATACTAATAGATTCATATAAACAATACCACGTAATAAATAGCATAATGAATGAACAAATGTTCAATTGTCTTGTACCTAAAATCCAAAAACTCAAAAACTGGAGTTTGAGTTGATTGTTCTTCTTTATTTAGGGCATTTTTTGTTTGTAGCGCCAGAAAGAGTACATCCTTTAAATAAAACTTAAACATTTTATACACATGTATTAAACATTTAATACACAAGCATAACCTCTTTAAAATTATAACTTACATTAGTTTTAGAGCGAAGTAATCCAACTTCTTTGTTCAAGTCTTTATTTTCTTCTTTAAGTTTTTCAATTTCCTACATATTTTTTAAAGTAAAACATTAAAAAAACGATGAAACAAAAAACCAATTTAATAATCAAATAACTAAAGTTATTTAATAATCAAAATTAAAAATATATATATTGAACAGTGACGGATCCAGGAATTTTTGGTGGTGGTGTGGTGTGGGAAAAGTAGAGGAGAGGGGGGGGGGGAGGAGAATTGAAAATGCGAACACGTGTAAAATGTAAGGGCAGTATAAAAATTTATTGCAAATGTTTTTACGCAATCTGTTGTTGTGGATGTTATGACGGATTTTGCAATATATTTTAATGCGATTGTTGATATCGAT